TGATTCCTATGAGTAATGATGTTGATTCCATGACTTTTTGATGATTATATGATGACATGATTATTATGATGATTTTGATGAATGATGATGCACCTAATGAGTTTGTTATGAGGATGATATTGACGTGTGCATCATGCATTCATATGCATTCCGGACTTCGGTCTAGTGTTTGATTCTTGTGGCTTCAGTCCTATTGTGTGGATGTGAAGTATTTTGTTGTGCTTCAGTTCTTGTGTAGAATCAATCCTATTGATGGGGATCTATGGAGGGTTGATGGCCCAGTGTCCATCGAACTTTGATGAATTGGTACCACATGCATGAGTCTTGTTGCATTTGCATTTGTGTGACAATTTGGTATAACTTATGATATTATGGCTTTTTGATGTTTCCTTGATGATTATGATGATGTTCAATACGAAAATGACGCTATTTTATATACTGATTCCTATATTGATTATTATGAATCATTTTACTCACCCTTCCTGTTTGAATGTTGTCTCCATGTGGGTAACGTGCAGATGACCAGGTTTAGTCGTGGATGTCGTCGAGGACTTTTTGGAGTTTTTGACTTTTGGTTGACTTAGAGGGTCTTGCTCTGATAGTGTAACATCGGGTTGGGGTCTTTGAGTTAAACCATGTTTTATTGATTATTGTTATTTTAATTATGTTGTTGTGCAAGGAAAACTTTGGATTTTTCCTTTTTGAGTTCCGCTGCCTTTTGAGCAATTTTTGAGTAATTTTGGGAAAACCTGTTGTTTACGGAGCATTAACTTTTATTTGAGGTATTGAGAAATGTACGCCCTTTGAGGTGATTTTTATTGTGTTTAATGTTTTACTCTGATAAATGTGATTGATTTGCCATTATATTTGTGGGGTAGAAAAGGGTGTTACACCAACTTCTTCACACGTTCTTTCAAGCTCGACATCTCACCTGCAAAAGAAAAAATAAGCAAGTCAGTGAACTGCAGACCGCCGACAGAAAAATAGATGGAACCCGAGTGAAGGGGGTGCCCACTACCTAAGAACCGTAAGGCTTTCTCGTAGGATGCACACTCGAGGAGGGCCTTCGTGTTTATCAATTGTGGCTCACAAAGAACCTCCTCGTGGGCATCAAGGATAAAATTCCCGTCCGAAGTAACACATTTCGCAGGGGTGAAGTCGGAGGCAAACTCGACCAGCTTCTGGTAGGCCATCCGGTCCTCGACATCCAACGAGTCAGGCCTGACTATATAACTATTTGTGCCCCTTTTGAAATGCTCTTTCGTCTATTCCAACGGAAACTTTGATTGTAAGACCTCCTCCCTCTACCTGTTTTCCTCCTTCACCACTAGGTCATACAGCGAGTCGACTACCACGTGGGTGATGGACTTGACAACGAAGTACCGATCTTTGAAAGTACAAACAAAGTCTAGGTACGCCCGAAATAATCTCCTCGGCTGCTTCAGGGACACCCAGTTGTGTCGACCCTCAAATGTCTGTCGTTACAGGTGAAAGATGCGGAAGAATAGAGGTATCGTGGTCCCGACATTGAGGTATCGGCATACGAGCTCGTACGCTCTCACGAACGCGGTCGTGTTGGGATGGAGCTGTGAAGGCGCCAGGGGCAGCTAGTCGAACACTCCCTGTTGGAAGTCATTGAAGGGCAGATGTAGGCCCTCTTCCCGGGAAGCGAATTCGTACATGGGAAACCTCATCCCCTTGAAACACAAGCATGTGTGGTGGTGTTCTCGGTGTTTGTAGACCTGTCAGTTTAGGGAGGAGCCCTCATAACAATACTCAACAGTAGCGTAAGCGTTTGAGTCGTCCTCGACAAAGCGTAAGGGGATGCTCAGGGGCTCCTGCCTAGCCCAATCTTCGACAGTCCGCTTTTGGACCTCTCTGATCTGCGCGACCAGGGAATCGGGCTCATCATCAATCTCGATGACCCCCTCGATCCTTGCAGCCATTTTCACTTGAAAAGCAGAGGAATACGGTGAATTCGACGTTCAAGATCAAATCCACACTTCCACCGTAAATCAAGTGAAAGGGCGACGAGAGGGGCACAGAGCCACCGGACAAGCATCCCCGACCGAAAACACCCAACTAGGGTACTCATCTAGAGGAAGTTCCTCTTTGACTACGAGACCTTGTCCGGCCAGAGGAGCCTCCTGGACGGGGATTACCTCACCACATCAACGAGAGGACGAGGATAGGACCCCCAAGATCTTCATCACAGGTCCTCAGGACCTTCATCAGGTCCTTGGGGCCTTCGTATAGTGTCCTCGGGGCCTTCATCCCAGGTCCTCAGAACCTTCATCAAATCCTCGAGGCTTTCATTTAACGTTCTCGGGGCTTTCATCCCAGGTCCTCGGGACCTTCATCAGATCCTCGAGGCCTTCATTTTATGTCCTTGGGGAATTCATCGCAGGTCCCCGAGGACTTCATTGGAAACTTCATAAATTTGAAGAAGTTCTGGCGTATTCGCCAGAAACTTCATAGTTTCCCCGAGAACTTCATCAATTCACCAGAGAAACCGCTGGAAATGCACAAAACTCAAATAGCGAAGCCATAAACTTATTTGAACACGGTGGTTTTTGAGCGATGAGACGATGGCGGGCAGCAGACGAACAGAAACGAAGAAAGAGAGCGCGAAAAAAGAGTAGGGGAGGTTCTGAGCAGAAGGGGGAAAGTGTGCGAATGAAACAAACTCACCCCCTATTTATAATCCTAGCACGGGACTCAAGGCGTCCCTAGGCACTTGAGTACCCATACTTCTAGCCACCCTAGGCATTAATTGCCCTAACACGTGACATCACCAGACACCTTACACACCCGTTCAGATTCCTCTCTTGCCTGGGATCGTATGTGCCCGTCCCCTCCAACGTCTCTCACGCAGGCGATTTTGTGGTCTCAGTACCCCGTTAAGCGAGCAATGCTCCCCGAGAGCACCCACGATATGGAAAAGCTCGAAACCTGGCCGCATCCATCTTCCTCGGCGTTGGAACTAACACTTAAGTCATTACTCTTCCACTTAGGAGCAACGACTTAGGGGGCTCCTGTTTTGGATTGGGCTAGTACCTGCCCCACAATCGGGCAGGCCCAACCCAATATCACATTGGGGAGGCCCAGCAAGGCTCAATCCTCCTCCCTGTCGGGCACACTCAGTACTCTCTGCAGTCAGGCAGACCACTACCTAGCACGGGGATAGCCCACGCGTCTTTTCCACATTCTCCATGTGTCCCCCACGCGGGGACACGTCAGCAGACAATTACTCACCTTCCGAGGATCACGAGGCAGTTGACCTAGGGAGAAGACCACACATTGGTCTTCTCTACGCCACGTAAGCTCTGACAGTTACTCATATTGGGTCTTGCAATCCAACCCAGTACAAAGTAATCGTTGCCTCAGCGTTAGGGGCACATTATAAATATCCTCTTTTACTAGATGGTCAAGTATTTTGAATTCTAAATCTTCTTTCTGTACTTGCTTTCTCTTACTCTGTTTTTCACTTTAGCATCGGAGTACCTTGCATGTACACTCTCTCCTATTCTCCAACATCAGTGAACATAAGAGCTCACGACGTGTGACAGATTGCTAATCCTTTATATATATGTGTGTGTGTGTGTAAAATTGGTAATTAAATAAAAAGAGAAAGAAAAAAAAACGAAATGAAACGTGTATGAGGCTGTTTTTCTACTATCAAACAACAACAAAAATAGTACACCATTTATCTTAAAGGTTTGTTTGTTATAAGTGAAATAAAGAAGAGAGAAGTTGAGAGGAGAGAAGTTAAGAAGAGTCACTAAATTGTGTTTGTTTGATTTGAAAGAGAGAAATTGAAGAGAGTGATAAAAGTGTGGGACCATGGTTAATTTCAATCTTCTTACACTAGAGAAGAAAGTGAGTTTGATTTGAAAGAGAGAAATTGAAGAGAGTGATAAAAGTGTGGGACCATGTTTCAATCTTCTTACACTAGAGAAGAAAGTGAGAAGAGAAGAACTTTCTCTCAAAAATGACTTTACTGTCCTTTGTATCACTATATATTTTTATTACTTAGTTTTTTTTCTCTGTTTTCTTGCTATAGTTGTTTTACTTTGAAAAATTGTTTTACTAAATCAACAATATACGCGTGAAATATTTATGGAGTTGAGATAAGACCATTCATTTGATAATAATTTATTTCAAAATTATTTAAGACATTCCCATTATTAAGTAATAAAAGTTTATTCATAAAAAATAATACTACAAATTTTAATTCAAAAATATATAATTAACATAAAATTTTATAAAAATAAATTAACATAAAAAAGTTAAAAATCAAATCAATTAGTTTATTTAACTCAAATTTATTATTTAAATATTAATTCATAAATTTAGGAAAAAAATATTTAATCAATAAAATGAATAAATTAGCTTAATTTAACCAAGGACATTTATGTCTTTGTCATAAAATAAGACACTTTTTTTCTCTTTTATTTCTCTCTCTCTCTTTTGTACCAAACAACATGTCAAATTTACTCTATTTCCTATCCTTTTCTCTCTTTTCACACTCTTTCTCACATATTTTTCTCTTTACAACCTCTTCTCTCAACCAAACACACCCTGTAAAAACTTATTTAACCCTGTAAAAAAAATGAAATTTTAAAAATAACAATTGAAAAAGTATTTTTGTTAACCAAAATAATAGGTGTGATATGAGAAAGAGAAACATCACTATCAAAACTTATATTACAATTGTAATGCTACTCAACTCACTATATTCCTATCATATCTAAAAAAATGTGTTGACATGCATGCACACTACTACACTCTTCTCTCTAGTATATGCTAAACTGAATGAGACTTCACTTCAGCATATTAACCTGAAAAAATGAGTTAAAAATACAAACCTCATCAAGGTTATTTAGTTGCCAGAGAGAAAGAGAGAGAGAGAGAGAGAGAGAGAGAGAGAGAGAGTTATTAGAGCAAGAAACAGCACCAACAATATTTTTCTGAATATTAAGGACACACTCAGCAAAGACTCAATCGACGTCTTTTATTTCAGCTTCAACATCAATTGCTCTACCAGAATCCTCGTCTGCGACAAGAGAAACAAGGGCACACGACAACATTATCAAAGATGAAGGGATAATAATATTAGAGACAAGGAAGTGGCATTTAAACAAGCCTTGTGAAGGTTACCATTTCTAGAACGCGGGAAATTGTCGAATGCTTCTCCAAATGTTGTAGATTGGTTTGAAAACTTTACAGATTCCTTTACAAACTCATTGTCATCAACTGATATCAAAACAAAGGTGTCTTGATTAATTTTCTAACCACGGATAGGAAGTGTTAAGCTTAATATTGACAGAAAAGCGAATGGAAAATATAAGGAAGATGTCCATTCTTACCAGAAAAAGGTTGACCGCAAAAAGGGCACAACTGCAATTCCTCATTCAAAGTCGATCTGTAACAAATAACTAGACATTAGAGTAAAGATAAACGATTTGAACTAGTTCAAAATAAATCTTCTATAAGTAGCTTATTAGGATGTACATGAAATATATCTTACTTGAAAACCTGAAAATCATTTCCACAGTTTGGACACTGCAGATACAATAAAGACACAACAAAACCCAGTCAGTGAAGGTACAAGTCACCTTAGAATAGAATATTTCTCATCTCAATAGTCCAAATAATATAAAGGCTATTTTTGCATGTTTAAATCAGGTATCTTTTGCGCAACATCAGATATTAATCTCTTGAGTCGGATAGGACTCCATAGGGCAGCAAGCTCCCTCTCAACAAAAAGGCTAAAATAACTAATAATTTTCTGTAAAAATAAATTTGAAAAAATAACTTCAAGTTTAAACATGGAAATATGTAAAAGCAATACATAAACCAACTGTAAGGAATATATCCCAGAAGTTAAAAAGTGTAAGTTGAAAGAAAGTTTCAGAGTTAAGTTTTGAAGAAGCCTCACAGTGCCTTTCATTATATCTCTTCCTGCCCACCAGAGGAAAGCACCAATACCTACAATCGGTACTAAGACTGCAAAGATCTGCATGCAAATAAAGAAAAACGAAAAGAAAAAACAGTTCGATGATTAATTTACATGTAATCATTTTGGAGGAAAGTTTTTACTCAGACATAATAAACTAAGGGACAAAAAGATAGTTCTTCGAAATTTTACTAAAAGACATTATAAACTAAGGGACATAATCACATTTGGGTGATGCAAATACACATTGAGAAAATCAGCAAAACTTACTAACAAGAAGAAAAGGGGGACACTTGAAGTGAACAATTGTTTTGCATTTCTAGAAACAATGACAATGTCAAAATTGCTATTTTTATTATTACCTGAAATGCCTCATCTTTAGCTAGTATGTTACCAAAATTGTTATATTTGTTTTTTCTGTTTACATGCTATTAATCTATCTTGTTGCATGATGAAAGCAAGAGAATGAACCTTAACACAACTGTTATGAGTCCTCCATCGGACAATATATGGTCTGAACATGTATTTATAAATGGGGGCAATCCTCACCCTTCAAGCCGGTTTTGTAGGGTTGAGTTAGGCTCAACCACAATTTTTTTAGAACAACATTAAGGTTTCTAGCACTTAAAATTTACAGTTTAACCCAACCGTACAAAACCGGTTTGTAAAGTGAATGCTATCTCACACTTAAATACATTTTTTGTGGGCCATATCTCATTCCATCATGACCCTATCACAGACAGTCTTACCTTGCATTTGTAAAGCATTTAGAAGAGGCTAATTCCATAATATATGATTAAAAAATGTGCTATCTTTTAAGTGAATAAGTAAAGGCCTGTCTGTCCTTAAATTTGTTGCAGTTGGTTAACATCAGGGTAAACATGCGGTGATTGAGGACCAACTGGTTTGCTACCGCATCAGTCCGCAACGCAGCAGCAATATGATACCAAGAAGTTGAGCTGAAGATCCTAGATGCTAATAAACACAAAGGGATTTGAAGAACTATTCCTGATTAATTACTCAACTAAGCTATAAAAACTGACAATGATATCCTTCAATAAATAGATTACTCAAACATGAATAAATTGAAATAGCATAAAAAGAACAACTAATATGCATAATTGTCAAAGCATTAAAACTGTTGGACTTTAATCATAACTAGTTAGCTCTAAACTAAATATGATCCAATAAAAGCAAACAAAAAGGGAAGAGAGATACCCAAATGGAGAAAATAGCATCCAAAATCCATCCAAGTTGTCCGGTCATTGAAAGATAAGTTAACCCAATAGCCAAAGCAAGATTTCCCAAAATCCTTGCAGTACCACCATCATCTCTTCCACCACCTCCACCACCACCATTATTGAATCCAAACCCTTGATTATTTTTCACCAAAACCACTCTATTTTTTTTCTTGCACCCTTTCTCCTCAAATAAAACCCCATTTTTAAACACTGTACCTCCCAAGAAGGACCGTCTTTCCCTGTATGCTCTCAACTTGAAGCTACCCAGATGAAAAGAAGTAAACTTTGGGTCAAACTGAGAAAAAGAGAAAGTGGGCTGTGTCCTGTATACACCATCATTGAAGTTGAAATTGGGTTTCAAGTGTGAAAAATTGATTGAGAATTGTACAAGGGTGAACATGGGGAATATTGTAAATGGGAGAAATAAAATCTTAGTGTGAAGCATCAAAATTGAATTATCAACTTAGAATCAGAAATTGAATTGTTCACTGTTTTTTCTTCCTCTCCAAATCCATTGAACTGTTGCCACGTTGGTTTTAAGTGACCCATCACTCTACATTATCTTCTTTGCTCTATTGCTAATTTTTGCCTCAATCAGGTTATATATATATATATATATATATATATATATATATATATATATATATATATATATATATATATATATATATATATATATATATATATATATATATATATATATATATATATATATATATATATATATATATATATATATATATATATATATATATATATATATATATATATATATATATATATATATATATATATATATATATATATATATATATATATATATATATATATATATATATATATATATATATATATATATATATATATATATATATATATATATATATATATATATATATATATATATATATATATATATATATATATATATATATATATATATATATATATATATATATATATATATATATATATATATATATATATATATATATATATATATATATATATATATATATATATATATATATATATATATATATATATATATATATATATATATATATATATATATATATATATATATATATATATATATGTTCTGGACTGGGCCGAGGCTTAGCCCACAATCGAGAAGGCCCAAAATTCCACTGAGGTTGGGCCCAATTGGACCACACTGATGAGCAGGGACCAATGGGCAGAACCTCCTCCCGTCAGGCAGGTGCCCATCCCGTGGGCAGAACCTGTGCCCATCTTGACGGGCAGAACCTGTGCCCATCCCGTCAGGGCAGAACCTCCTCCCGTCAGGCAGGTGCCCATCCTGACGAGCAGAACCTGTGCCCATCCTGACGAGCAGAACCTGTGCCCATCCTGACGAGCAGAACCTGTGCCCATCCCGTCAGGGCAGAACCTCCTCCCGTCAGGCAGGTGCCCATCCCGTGGGCAGAACCTGTGCCCATCCTGACGGGCAGAACCTGTGCCCATCCTGACGAGCAGAACCTGTGCCCATCCTGACGAGCAGAACCTGTGCCCATCCCGTCAGGGCAGAACCCCCTCCCGTCAGGCAGGTGCCCATCCTGACGAGCAGAACCTGTGCCCATCCTGACGAGCAGAACCTGTGCCCATCCCGTCAGGGCAGAACCTCCTCCCGTCAGGCAGGTGCCCATCCTGACGAGCAGAACCTGTGCCCTCCTGACGAGCAGAACCTATGCCCAGCCCGTCAGGGCAGAACCTCCTCCCGTCAGGCAGGTGCCCATCCTGACGAGCAGAACCTGTGCCCATCCTGTCGGGCAGAACCTGTGCCCATCCCGTCAGGGCAGAACCTCCTCCCGCCAGGCAGGTGCCCATCCTGACGGGCAGAACCTGTGCCCATCCTGTCGGGCAGAGCCTGTGCCCATCCCGTCAGGGCAGAACCTCCCCTCCGCGGGGAGAATAACGTGCTCGGCGCACGTTCTCCACGTGCTCCCCTCCGCGGGGACACGTCACCGGCCAACTGCCCACCTCCGAAAGAGCAGGTCAAACCCACTCTCCGGAGATCTAGGAGCGGTTGAACTAGGGCGAAGACCACGTCCTGGTCTTCACTACGCCACGTAAGCCCTAGCAGTCATTAGGGTTGGGCCTGGTCATCCAGCCCACCTCGAATGACCGTTGGCCCAGCGCTGGGGTCTCTCTATAAATACCCTCTTCCCCAAGAGGGCCAGGTAATTTTCACCTCTTCTAACTTTCTGTTCTTGCTCTCACTCTGCCCAAATTCTGACTTTGGCATCGGAGTGCCTTGCAGGTACACCCCCTCCTCATCCTCAACACCGGTGAACAGGAAGCAGCCTAACGGAGCGTGGCCATCCCGTGATCCCCTCCTGATCAGGCCAGATCAGTGGCGCCGTCTGTGGGAACCGAAGCTCCCCCGTTCCTCCGAGCAGAGAACCAAAGCTTCATCTCTCAAAACTTCAAGATCACGAGTGCCCTCCGCCATGGCGACGTTGTTCACAATTGTCCTCCCTTCGTCGAGCAGAAGACTCCGATGGGCAGGACCTGGCTGCCCACCAGCCAGTCTTTGTCCTCCTTTCGCCGAGCAGAAGACTCCGATGGGCAGGACCCTGGCTGCCCACCAGCCAGTCTTTGTCCTCCTTTCGTCGAGCAGAAGACTCCGATGGGCAGGACCCTGGCTGCCCACCAGCCAGTCTTTGTCCTCCTTTCGTCGAGCAGAAGACTCCGATGGGCAGGACCTGGCTGCCCACCAGCCAGTCTTTGTCCCCTCCTTTCGCCGAGCAGAAGACTCCGATGGGCAGGACCTGGCTGCCCACCAGCCAATCTTTGTCCCCTCCTTTCGCCGAGCAGAAGACTCCAATGGGCAGGACCCTGGCTGCCCACCAGCCAGTCTTTGTCCTCCTTTCGCCGAGCAGAAGACTCCAATGGGCAGGACCCTGGCTGCCCACCAGCCAGTCTTTGTCCTCTCTTTCGTCGGGCAGAAGACTCTGCCGGGCAGGACCCTGGCTTCCATCCAGCCTTGTCCTCCCTTCGAAAACCTACTACTTCGAAAACTTACACGGGACTATATAGCTCGACCATGGAACGCTGAAAAGCTAAAAAATACTACAGTTAAACAACACTGCCCGCGTGGGACAACCCGCGCGAACAAGAGGGTGGACTGATACGACCACACCTCACCGACCTTACCTTAGCGGGCACTATATCTCCCCGAACAAAAAGAGAATAGCCCGCTCGACGGCACCCCCTCGATCGAGAGTCGCCGCCGCAGTATCATAATCGGCCGAACGCCCAGCTCGCGATGGGATGTTCAAGCCTACAGGATAGATCACAACCGTGACCTAACTCTTGTCCGCCCAGGAAGCTACCCCGGGCATCCGGATAGTTCCCCACACTACCGGGTAACACGCACCGAGCAAAGGTCCCCCACAAAACAATAAACATTCACGTCATAATGGAGCTCGGCAAAACGAGCCAACACTTAGCGAAAAAGCATAACGATCATGCACGCACACAAAACTTAGAAAGGAAAACAAGAATTCCATAAAAGGGGCACAAGCCCAGAAGTCAAAACGTTATAATAAACGGGCACGACCCCGGGTGTCGAGCAGAAACGATCGAAGGTGTCGAGCATAATTTTTTGGATGTCGAGCGACTGCAATTTCGCCCTTCCCAGATGATCGATACGATCGACGACATTCTCGCATCCTGCCTGACATATCAGCGCGCGCAACGCTATTCTCTACTTAAGTCATAGCTCTCCTGACAGCGAACTACGACTTGGGGGGCTCCTGTTCTGGACTGGGCCGAGGCTTAGCCCACAATCGAGAAGGCCCAAAATTCCACTGAGGTTGGGCCCAATTGGACCACACTGATGAGCAGGGACCAATGGGCAGAACCTCCTCCCGTCAGGCAGGTGCCCATCCCGTGGGCAGAACCTGTGCCCATCTTGACGGGCAGAACCTGTGCCCATCCCGTCAGGGCAGAACCTCCTCCCGTCAGGCAGGTGCCCATCCTGACGAGCAGAACCTGTGCCCATCCTGACGAGCAGAACCTGTGCCCATCCTGACGAGCAGAACCTGTGCCCATCCCGTCAGGGCAGAACCTCCTCCCGTCAGGCAGGTGCCCATCCCGTGGGCAGAACCTGTGCCCATCCTGACGGGCAGAACCTGTGCCCATCCTGACGAGCAGAACCTGTGCCCATCCTGACGAGCAGAACCTGTGCCCATCCCGTCAGGGCAGAACCCCCTCCCGTCAGGCAGGTGCCCATCCTGACGAGCAGAACCTGTGCCCATCCTGACGAGCAGAACCTGTGCCCATCCCGTCAGGGCAGAACCTCCTCCCGTCAGGCAGGTGCCCATCCTGACGAGCAGAACCTGTGCCCTCCTGACGAGCAGAACCTATGCCCAGCCCGTCAGGGCAGAACCTCCTCCCGTCAGGCAGGTGCCCATCCTGACGAGCAGAACCTGTGCCCATCCTGTCGGGCAGAACCTGTGCCCATCCCGTCAGGGCAGAACCTCCTCCCGCCAGGCAGGTGCCCATCCTGACGGGCAGAACCTGTGCCCATCCTGTCGGGCAGAGCCTGTGCCCCCATCCCGTCAGGGCAGAACCTCCCCTCCGCGGGGAGAATAACGTGCTCGGCGCACGTTCTCCACGTGCTCCCCTCCGCGGGGACACGTCACCGGCCAACTGCCCACCTCCGAAAGAGCAGGTCAAACCCACTCTCCGGAGATCTAGGAGCGGTTGAACTAGGGCGAAGACCACGTCCTGGTCTTCACTACGCCACGTAAGCCCTAGCAGTCATTAGGGTTGGGCCTGGTCATCCAGCCCACCTCGAATGACCGTTGGCCCAGCGCTGGGGTCTCTCTATAAATACCCTCTTCCCCAAGAGGGCCAGGTAATTTTCACCTCTTCTAACTTTCTGTTCTTGCTCTCACTCTGCCCAAATTCTGACTTTGGCATCGGAGTGCCTTGCAGGTACACCCCCTCCTCATCCTCAACACCGGTGAACAGGAAGCAGCCTAACGGAGCGTGGCCATCCCGTGATCCCCTCCTGATCAGGCCAGATCAATATATATATATATATATATATATATATATATATATATATATATATATATATATATATATATATATATATATATATATATATATATATATATATATATATATATATATATATATATATATATATATATATATATATATATATATATATATATATATATATATATATATATATATATATATATATATATATATATATATATATATATATATATATATATATATATATATATATATATATATATATATATATATATATATATATATATATATATATATATATATATATATATATATATATATATATATATATATATATATATAAAGATAATAACATCAAAATATATTAAATTTGTATAGAAATTTTATAATGCAATTTAACGAGACACA